TAAAAAAGGCTAAATTCTGCACTGAAAGACTTGCTAATGAATATACTTTCATGTTTCAAGCTAAAAAGTATATATTTTTTAAGGTATCTATCACTTTGCACAACTTCTCACCTTTTTCAATTAATGACCAAGTCTGATAAGTTTTCTCCTGTAAATTACACATTTCAAGGAGCTTTTAAGCAGAGTGCATCTAGACAATAATTTGACTCATTCTTCATGGCCCAGGGTCACTATTAAGCCCACCTGGCATGGACAGTGTTTTGCAGCCACAACTGTAGGGACCACAGATGGATGGAGACACTTGCTCCTGTAATAGGGGCCCTAGACTCTGTCCAGGTCTTGTTTTCTAAAAGTTCTCTGTCCTTTCCCGCTGTGTTCAGTCCACTTCTAGGGGCTGTTTGAACTCTGAGTAGGTTTTTCCCCCTAAATTGTTTCTAATCTGATAAGGGTTAAGGCACCAGATAATCAAGCTTGTTGGAACTGTATTGTTACAGTTAACAGGATCTGAGAACAAGGTTTTCCCATGAAAGAGGTTAAGACAGACTTACTACTTAACACCTACTTAAACAGCTCAGTTTTTTGTTTTGACTGTTTTTTTAAAACTTAAGTTCCCTTAGTGTTCTAGACTCTGGAGACTGCTATCACAATTCACTTTGAAGGAGCCATTTTGTCAGTTAGCTGGTAACTGAAAAATTATTTAAGAACAAAAGAACCATCTCTGGAAAAACTACTATGCTGTAAGCTCTAACTTCCTTTGAATTCTAAACCAGCTCTAAAGCTAGGCAATGAGTAACAGAATCTTCAGCTGAGATTCCTCAGCCTGTTCTCCCTAGATTCCTGCCCCATCCTAAAGCAAAGAGAGGGTCTCAGAGTTTTTAGGTGAAAAAAGGGTTCAGCTCCCAGCCTGAGAAAAGGAGCTGTATGCAGAACTTAGAGATCACCACCACCCCTCTTCCCAGATCAATTACGTATAAATAAAATGGAATTCAAAAATCCTGAGAACTCTGAAAGAAAATATTTATTCGCCTTTAGTGACTGTGAGCTATTTAGGAGATTTCTACATTTTTCAGTTTTATCATTATCTACACTTTCTAGAACCACATGTGGGTGGGGGAGGGGAGGAGGACAGAGAATTCCCTCCAAAAAAGGACAAGTGGGTAAAAAATAAAGCTTTGAAAAAGACATTTCCTAGAGAAAAAAAAAAGTTTTTGTCTGCTCTATACATGGTTTAAATTTTGGATCTACTCACAATCCAAAATGTGCCTGAGATTATTTACCAATTAAAGGCAAAAAAAACCTTTGTAATATGCTAATAAAACTGTAACAAATCATTAAGCCTAGCAGGTTATCAGCCTCTCTATGCAGTCAAGGTGCTTAGCCTGTTGAAGAGGAGCTGTTGGTAAACACCAAGATTAACCAGCGACTGACTCTACTTTGGAGGACTGGATCTGGTCTCAGGATCAGAATTTCATTTCTCTCTCACACAGGCCCAGATTCTCTGCATTCTCAGACAGCTTTCATACTCAAGTCATAGAGCTTTACAAGGATAGAACCTAAGTGTTTTCCCTCAATTGTTTGTTCACGGTTTGTCTTCCCTGGGCAGTATCTCGCACAGCACAGGTCTAACGCCACACTCTGGGTAAGTGGTGACACCAGGATCAGAATTACAACACAGGTGGGCTGACTCTGAGAGCTGACATTCAGTGGGTCAGCAAAGTGCAGTATTTCTCAAAGTGGAGGTGACTGGGACCTGACATTAACTAACATTATGTTATGAAAGTACCTCCCTTTCCCATTCCAATCCAATGTCTCAGTTTAATCAAGGAGAAAGCTGTTTGTAGAAATGTCTCTATTCCTGCTTTTGAACAAATAACGGATTTTGGGCTCTTCTGCAGGCAGTAACACTTTGGTTTAACATCAACAGAAAGTATCTTATGGCTCCATTACATTTACAATAACTGAAGTCTACTTCTAAAAGATAGTGTTTATGTAAAAGTGGGTTCAAATAAAAATATTACGCAAATAGTAGTACAGACGTTGTGAGACAAAACTGGGAAGGAAGCAACCGACCACATTACTGAAATTTGGCAAACACTGTGTTAAGCTACAATGCCAAGGAGGGTAAAAATCTAAAGAAATTCTACCACCAGATGCCAACTCATAACATTAGAGTGTCTATTAGATACTAAAAAAAAATTTGTGGATGTAAATGGATACTCCTCTTAAAGTTGCTGCCTCCTCCTCTCCCGCTACCATCCCAGACCCAGCTGGGCTATTTCTTTTATGCTTCCAGCTGACCCTGCTTATAGAGCTTGCAGACCATCAGGAGGGCATGGGAGTCAATCTCAACTGAGGCCAGGTGTGGCCAGTAGTGGGCAAATATGACTCCAATTTCAAATCCAGTCATTACTAGGTGGTAAATGTGCACTTAGGCAAGTTAACTAACTGCTGAGCCTCAACTTCCTCCTCTGTAAAATGGGTGTCATACCTACCTCCCAGAGTATGTTCATTCAAAAAATATTTATTGAGCAGCTACTATGCGCCAAGCCCTGGGAATAAGAAATTAACAACATAGAAACAATTTGTCCTAGAAAAGCTTATATTTCAAGGAGAAAGGAACAGACTGACACAAAAATAACCAAAAAAGCCAAGATATCTTTACAAATATTCATTATATCTTACAGGTATGAGAGAGTAACAGGGATGCCCTTACCTTCGACTATCCTGAATTTAACATTTAAGTGAGCTCTGAAGGATGAAAAGGAATCAGCCAAATAAAAGTGTGGGAGGGAAAGAAGAGTATTCCAAATGAGGGAACCCAACCTGCAAAGACCAGAACAAGGTTGTAGTAACTCCAAAAACACACAGAAAGACTTGGGTAAGGAAGACAGGTAGGTGGTCCAGGATGAAGGGGGTGGGCAGGAGTAAGTTAAAGATCCTGGATTTTATTCTAAGAACAGTAGGCCCCACTGAAGGGGAGTACCTTTTAATAAGCAGGGGAGTACCTTGGTCCGATCTACTTTTTTAAAATATTACGTTCCCTACAACTCTGTATGGAGAATGGTTTGGAGGGAGACAAAAGTCGAAGTGAGGCGGCTCCTGCAGGGACTCTGGTAGCTCATGAAGGCGGTCGGGACGGAGTAAAGTGAGCTGATTCCGGGTTACACTGTTTTCTGTGCGCTCACCTTTACTGGGCATACACTCATTTCACGCTCACAACTGTTTCCATTTATGGGGAGACTAAACACAGAGGTTAAGTGCCTGGCACAGAGTAAGCGCCCAACATGCTAGCTATCACTAACTCTCCAGACCATCTGCCTACTACGTGGAGGAGTCAGAATAAGAATCCGCGGAGGGGGACCCCTCCAGCAGGACTCTGGTCTCCTCAAGCAGCAGCTGCTCGCGCCAAAGAGGTACTATTACTGGAGGAAGCCGAGGCCCAGAAGGGGACCCTACCTAGTGTCTTTACAAGATGCTCCGCTTCCCCCCGGATCCACCTCTAGCCCCGCGGGACACTGAAGAATTCGCCGAACGCCGGCTGCCCGCGCTCCAGGCCGGGAGGAGCAAAAGGCGCGGGCAGCTGCCGAACGCGCACCGGAGGCCCCGGAACCCGCGGCCTCCACTCACCTGAAGCCCCCAGGACGCGCAACCATCTACGATCCCGCCGCTCCGCCGCCACTCGCGCCTGCGCGCGCTTCAAACCCTCCAGCCGGCAGCGCGCCCAGAGTGGCCCTGCCCCTTCCCCTTCCGGGACGCCCGCAGCTGGGTCCTAAAGCCCTCCAGGTCATGAGGGGCTGAGGGGGCGCTCCCGCAAGAAGGGGCGGAGAGAAGACCTGGCCGCCTCCAGCTCCCCTCTCACCTCCTGGACGCGTCTCCTAAAAGGGGGAGGGAGGAAAAGAAATTTCCCTCACTTCTCCCGTAGTTAATTAGCAAAACTTATCCGCTTTGCAGAGGTTCTCATAGCTTCAGACTCCCGGAGCTCGAGGTGTGTGTGTGGAGGGGGGGGGTCGAGGAAGCTGAGGGCTGAGACCGGTGTCCCGGGAGGAGTGGGTTCTCCTGGGGGAGCGGACTGTAAAACCTGCTGTAAAATAAAAGGTTAAACGAGCTCCCTTAGACTCAACCTCGAATGCCCGTTTCTTCGTTGAAAGAGGCGCGTGTGCCTGTGTGTGTGTGTCTATGTGTGTTGCCTTTTTAATTTTACTGAAAGAGGTCTGAGATAAACTCCTTTGCAAAGCGGAACCCTCCACATATTCCTTGCCTTTAATAAGGATGTTTGCTGTGGAATTTGGGCTCAGTGCTGTTGATATTATTCTGTTTCCTTCACACCAGGCACCTCTCCTAGAGGACTGAATGAAATAACTTGGGGTAAAGGTCCTAAGGGCTCACTTGGTTCGTTTATTGAAAGTCTGTTTTGTGCCAGGTACCGTGCTCAGTGCTAGGCTTATAGGGAGGACGGAACAGACACAGTAGCTACCCTGGAGGGCTCTATTCCAATGACTTGCTGATCTGCACGGGAGCCCCGGTCTTGTTTTGATTGGTTCCTTTTAGGCTTTGTTCACACTCTTTTTGTGTCTCCTATAATGTTTAGCATAGTGCCATTGATCAAAATTATCAAAAGTAATTTACTACAAGGTGTGGGGGCAGAAAATGAAAAGAATCATGCAGGACACGTTGAAACAGCACCCGGGTGAGCGGGATCCACAGCCGCGCGCCAGGAGTTAAAGGGACGAGAGGGGCGGAGCCAAGGCTGGGGGCGGGCCTGAAAGCTCCTCCGCCATAGGCTGTTCCAAGGAAACGTTATTAAACAAAGTCTCTGGCCAATAGAGCTTCGGGGTCAACGCCAGTGGCTCGCAGGCCGTCCAATGGGAGAAGACGTTGGAGGTACCCGGCCAAGTTCAGCTTCCCGAGCTGCGGGGAGCTTGGCGGGTGGTTGCTGCAAGCCGGGCGTAGGCTGCAGAGGCCGCGAGTTCAGGCCTTCTGGCTTTCGTGTGGCTGTCGCGATGTTTTTCTCCCAGGCCGGGGCCCGGCCGCGGAGGTGGGAAGCCAGCCAGTCGGAACACAAGAAGTGGGTGGAAGTAAGTGTCCGGAGGGCTGTCTCGGACTTAAACTTGACCCGGGACTTTCACTTCCGTCACCCCGCCTGGCTCTCACTCAGCTTTGTTGCACAGATAGGGGCTGGACTGTCCTTCCGAAGTGTCATGGTTAATGACCGAAACTAGGAAGGCTTCTGGATCCCTGTCCAATGTTCTACTTCCAACTCCTTTTTTTCTCCGCGACATAGTCTGTGTATAACAAGCTGTAATCTCCATCTCTCCTCCCGCCTTTCAAAGCCAGCCCTTTTGCCTCACCTTCCCAATTCTGAGATTGAATTTTCGGTAGAATTTATCCGAATGGTTTAAAGGAATTAACCCAGCGATTAAGTCGTTTGCACTTTTGGGGGGGGTAAATTTTAGCACATTAAGATTTCTTTTTCTTTTTGGCCCTGGGGGCAGCATTCAGGATCTTAGTTCCCCAGCCAGGGGTAGAACCCGTGCCCCCTGAAGTGGAAGCTCGGAGTCTTAACCACTGGTTCTCCAGGGAAGTCCCAGCAGATTAAGATTTCTTGAGGATTAAAATTAGGGTAATGAAATTCCATTTCCCAGCCCTTGGGAGGTCTAAACTTAATATAAGTTAGTAATAATAGAACAAACGGTTTCTGTCTTATTAACTAAAGATATTTGCTGTTCTTTAGGTATTTAAAGCATGCGATGAAGAAAACAAAGGCTATCTAAGCAGAGAGGACTTTAAAGTTGCTGTTCTAATGCTGTTTGGATACAAGCCTTCCAAGGTAGAACTTTCTTTTGTATTTGGGGACTGGGCTGACAATACAATAGTGGATGGGTTCTAAATAAAGTGCAGAGGGCTAGCTTAGGATGTTTATGAAGCAAACCACTGCCTTTTGAGCAATTTCAGAGATGTGTCCAGTGCTGAATTTTACTTTTGTCTTAAGAATCCAACTCAGGAATGAATTAGAATCCATCAAGATTAAGTCACCAGGCTGCTAATAATATTAAGTATTATTGAGATGTATTAAGTATTATTGAGTATTATGAGATGCTAGTGAGGTTCCAAGAGGGAAGCCTGGGAGTGGGATGTTGGTAACAGAAGGAATTCACAGAGGAAGTGACATGCAGGATTTTTTTTTTTTCTTAAATTGAAAAAAAATTTTGCTCCATTTAAATTATGAAAATAATGCATTTACATAGTCAAAAAATTAAAATGGTCCAGAAAAGTATAAAGTTGGGTGTAAAATCCCCTCCCTCCCTACCAAAGGGTCCCACTCCTCAGGAGTTACCATTATTAACAGTTTCTTGTGTATCATCCCAAAATTTCCTATGTATTGACAAACACGCCTAGCATTGTATTGAAAAGTGGGTGCATAGTATGCCTATTTTAGTTTAACTTGCTTTTTTCACTTCACAGTAGAAGAACATAAAAGCACACACACCACATTAAAAAAATAGTTGCTTAGTATTCTCTTTAGCTACTTTCCTTGTTTTGGTCATTTCAATTGTTTCTATTTTTCATTCCTACAAATATTGTTGCTGCCGTGAGCATTCTCTTATAACTATATCTCTGCTTGTGGATATATCTGTGGAATAAATTCCTAGAGATACAAGTGCTAGGTACATTTGAAATTTTGTTGGGCATTGCTCTCCAGGAAAGGTTGCACTAATTAAGGAGAGTTGAGCTGAACTTCAGTGAATCTCCCTTTTTAGTAGGACAGGTTTCCTATGCCTCCTGTCCTTGTGCTGCTCCTCTTGTCCTTTACATCCATTCTAGTGATGGATCCCTCTTGTTAAGCTGCTGAACTGGAATTAATCAGGGGCAAGATCTTGGCCCGGTTTAAGAAATTCAGCTGCAGGCATCAAACAGAGGGAGCACTCAGGGCTCTGCCTGGAATGTCATCCCTCCCAGACAAAGTGGCTGGGCAACTGCTTTGGCCCAATTGTTCCTTATGAGTGGGCTCTACCTGTCTGTCAGATTGCGGGCCCTGTAAAGCCAGGGACCACATGATGTCCCACTTCTCTGTTCTTCATTATGCTTAAATGTATTACAACTTCATTGTTAATACATTCTGTTGATATAAATATGTCCCATGAACCACCCAGGTAGGTTCAACTGCTAGGAGTTGCTTAGTTACTGAGAGGTTGATTATGGAGCTTCAGGGCTGGCTCCCAGAAATTGCAGCTCTCCTGTTAACCTGCAGTCATTTCAGCTGGAATTCCAGAGCAGGTCAGCTAAGTGGACTCAGCTTTCGAAGCATTGAATTTAACCCAGGTTCAGCTGGAAAGATATCTGGTCTCATTCTACCTTTATCACCTTTGGATCTACTTACTTGATTTTAATTTTAGAACATGTAAGTGAGGAATTTAATGACAAGTACAGAGATGTGGTAACATACATACATACACACCATCAGATTTAACCGATTTTTACTTTTGGTTGGGGTTTTGGATTTTATTTTTTAATCAAAGGAAATGCTTGTTTACTGCAGATCGCTAAACAATGAAATACGGATATAGCAAATCACCTATACACTTAACAATCATTTGTAACAATCATGAAGTTTTATTAAGTGACACTTAATGTATTACCTCTGTGAAATTTAACAGATTTTTCCTCTTATAATAGGTTGAGGTTTGGGATTTTTTTTTTTTTGGGTGTACATTGAACATTTATTACAACTAATTGGTGATGTGATAAGATGTGCTCACGTGGCCTGAATATTGGTCACAATCACAACAAAGCTTAATCCAGCCCAGCAGATACAAATGAAAGTGTAAACTGTGAAGATATGTTTACATACATAGAAGTATGTATAAAAGTGACACTGAAACAACTGTATATCCTTAAAAAACGTAGAGCCCACTAGTGCCATTTTACCTCTTTCAACTTGGGGTTTTATTTTTAAACATTGCTTTTCAGCAAACGAAATATTTACTGAATGCAGGTCATGAAGCAGTAAGGCACTAAAATAATAAATCACTTCTGCATTCATGAAAATGTTTACAGAATGAAATTTATTGTGTTCCCATTTAATAAAAGGAGCACTTGCTAGTTGCTAGAAATATAAAGGTGAATAAACATAGACCCTACTTTGAAATAGTTCACAGTTTAGTGTAGAGAGACTTATAATACTCTGATAAATACTAAGATAGAGAAGAGATTAAGAACAGAAAGGGAGGAGGGCAAGGAGAAGGGTCTAATTCTGTGGTAACTTTAATAGGAATCTGGGCATCATTTAGAGCAGCGGAGGTAGACTCTGATATGAAGTGTCTGGGAGCTCTTTGTGGTGGTGGGAGAAGTTATGCCTTGGTGATTCATGGTTGCATGTGGTGGCCGTATCAGAGTGATGTGACAACAGGACTAAAGGGATAAGAAAATAAGAAAATTCAGAAGGAGTAGGTTTGGGGGAAAGGCAGTGAGTTCGGATTGGGGCATATTAAGTTCGAGGAGGCTAGAAGCACCCCAAGTGCATTCCTTTTTTAAGTGCTGTGCTGGGTGTTGAAGTGATGGTGGTAAAGATCTGCTCTCAGATTGTGCCACCTCCCTTAGATGTAGGAATCTGAAGTTGGGTGGAGAGGTGAGGGCTAGAGATAGATTTGGGATTCCTCACAGGTGGTAGCTCAAAGCATGAGACTGAGGTGGCATTGCCCAAAAGGAGTATGTGGAGTGTGAAGGGCAGTGTCCTGAAGGGAGAACATGGGGGGCGTACCCACAATTAAGGGTCGGTGGGGACTCCATGAAGAAGATGCACTGGGAACTGGTTGTCTGGGAGGGACAGGAGGAACCAGGGAAGAACCAGGGAAGTGCCAGCTTCTCCAAGGTGGAGAAGCTACATCAGATGTTGCCAAGATTCTAATTCCATGATGTTTATAAAGCTCTCTTAACAATTTGGGAAAATGCTTATGTTTTATTATTTAGTGAAGGCAGGTCCCCGAACTTAATATGTAGCGTATTCTCAAATATGTTTAAAAATGCATGGAGGGGGAAAAAAAAGCTGTACTAGGCCTAAATGTTAACAATGGTTTTCACTGGATGGCTGGTTTTTTAGATGTTTTTCTTCATAATTAAAAAATATTTTTCATGTTTTCTACATCATGTTACTATTACAGTCAGGAAAAAAAATTTAAACCCATAGAGCCCATTGTAACAATTGCTTGTATTAGGTTATTCTGTATATGTGACAGTCAAGTTGATTCTATATGATAAACTGTTTTGGTCAATGCAATTAAATTTTGGGGGCCATCAGAGTCTGTAGTAGATCAGCATCTGGTATCTTATTAATAGAAGAGAAAAATGACTATTATAGCTGTCCTGTGATGTTACTTGTCTGCTGGATTCAACAAAGTTGGTTTCTCATAAAATACATTCCTTCCCCGCACCCCAGGAATTAAGAACTTGTACTGTGAAAACATTTGATGAAATTGTATATCCTATGCTTTTTTCTTTTCTAGATAGAAGCTGATGCTGTGATGTCCTCAGTAGATCCAAACACTTCCGGTAATGTGAAAGTTAATTTTTAGTACTCTTATTTAGACATTCATGAAACTACAACTAAGAACAAATATGAGGCTATAAAGCATTATGTTTAAGCAAACCTTTGTTTTGTTTCTGATTACCCAAAAAGAACGAGGTTTGGTTCTTTTAATTTTAGTTAATTAATGTATTCATAAGTGTATGTTTATTGTAGGAAAATTTTAAACCACTGAAAAGCATAAAGAAAAAATGTTGCTGATAATTTCAACATCCCGCGGATGATCTAGGTTTTCTGACTTGAGCAGCTGAGTGAGTGGAAGTGGCACTTCCTGAAATGGGAAGACTCGGCGAGAAGATTTAGGGTTTGGGGAGTGCAAGAGTTCAATTTTGAATATGTTGAGTTTGAGAGGTTTTGGTCAGTGATGTCAAGGCAATTGAGCTGTATGAGTATGGAATTCAGAGGAAAGATCTGGGCCACAGATGGTTTTGAAGCCATGGGAGTGGATGAGATGGTTTTTGGATGGTTTTGAAGCCATGGGAGTGGATGAGATCCCTTGAGGGAGAGTGTAGATGGAGACCCGTAGGAACTATAACCATTAAAAGTCAGGTAGGGGATGAAGAGAGATGGCAAAGGAGACTTAGGAGGAGCAGAGGGGCCAGAGGAAAATCAAGAGTATTTGATCAAAAGCCAAGAGAAGTGACTGTTCCAGGGAAGAGGTGTGGTCAACAGTGTCCAATGCTGTTGAAAGGTTAAGTAGCAAAAGAACTGAAGAGGATCTGTGGAGCTGGCAACCCGGGGGGTGTCGGGTGATTTTAGGAAGAGCAGTGTCACCACGTCATGGGGGCAGAGGCCAGGCTGCAGTGGTTTGAAGATAAAGGGAAAGTGGCAGAGTGACAATGTGAGTCTTTCAGTGGGTCCAGTAGCTGTGGATCAAGAGCTGTTTGCTTTGCTTTTGTTTGCCTTTTTTTGGAACATGAAGAAGATGTTTCTAAGCTTGGCAGAATGATCTAGTGAAGAGGGGAAAGGCAAATGAGACAGAGAGATAACTATTGTTGGAGGAGATAGGGTCCAGAGCATGCTGAATTGGCTTTTCAAAAATTACTTTTTGGGGGGATGTAACTTAAGGCTTACAGAAAGTTGCAAAATAAAAATAGTACAGCGAATAGCTGTATACCCTTTAGCCAGATTCACTTACTGTTCATATTTTACCCCATCTACCTTCTCTTCTGCACTTTCTGCCTCTTCTCCATCCTCTCGCTGAGCTGTCCATAACCACAGCACACCCATTCATAAGTTTATATCGATACTTGTCTTTATCTGCTTTACTGTCTGTATTGCAATGTTGTCACTTGATATAATTATGTCCTTATTAGCATCTTTCCTCATTTAATACAGGAATTAGTCCTTGGTATCATGTCTCTTTAGCCTCCTTTAATCTGGGATATTTCTAGAGACTTTTTTTTTTTTTTTAAAGAAGATGTTGGGGGTAGGAGTTTATTTATTTTTGCTGTGTTGGGTCTTCGTTTCTGTGCGAGGGCTTTCTCTAGTTGTGGCAAGCGGGGGCCACTCTTCATCGCGGTGCGCGGGCCTCTCACTATCGCAGCCTCTCTTGTTGCGGAGCATAGGCTCCAGACGCGCAGGCTCAGTAGTTGTGGCTCACGGGCCTAGTTGCTCCGAGGCATGTGGGATCCTCCCAGACCAGGGCTCGAACCCGTGTTCCCTGCATTAGCAGGCAGATTCTCAACCACTGCGCCACCAGGGAAGCCCTTTTTTTTTTTTGCCGTTTTACAACATTGATATTTTTGAGGAAATAGCCCACCCCTCATGGTTTCCTTTTTTTAGGAACAGCCCTCATCTTGTGTTTGCATGACGTTTCTCTGTAAGTAGGTTGAGGTTAAGCACCCTCAGCCAGAATCCTGGCTGGGTGATATGTCCCTCTCAGGGCGCCACATCTGGAGGCACACGATGTCTGTCTGTCTCCCGTAGATACTAATTTTATCACTGGTCAAGACGTTGTCGGATTTCTCCATTGTATTATTTCTCTTTATATTTTCTTCCCTTGCAACTAATCAGCAGCCTGTGGAGAGACACGTTCGACGTTGCAGATATTCTGTTTCTCATCAAAATTTCCGCCTGGATTTGGTATCCATTTATGATTCTTGTCTGATCCAGTTTTTGCCATATGATTGCAAAGTAATGATTTTATAATCCCAGTGCTTCTTTCAGTTAGCCCTTGGCATTTTTACTATAAGCAAGAGACTTCCCGTCTTCTTGATTGATCAATCTTATCTCTCTTTTATCAGTATGGGCTCATAAATTTGTATGTTTTTAATGATTTATAATTCATTACTAAATTATTTTAGTGCTCCACTTACCACAGATTTGGCCATTGAGTGCCTCCTTGAGCTGGCTCCTGTGTCCTTTAGACTGGATTGACTTTTTTCTTTTTAAAAATCTTTTTATTTATAAATTTTGGATTTACAGAAGAGTTTACTAGATTATTTTTTGGATACAGGTTTGGTATCACATATTAAACATGACTTTTCGAACAATATTATTGCTGGGAGAAGTTGTTTTTGACATACTCCCTAACTTGATAGAATTTCCCCAGGCTTTAAATTTCATGTTAAAAATTTTCACGCTTTCAAAGTATTCAAATGTTGTTTCTTTGCTGTTCAATGTAGGTTGTGACTTCTTGGTGAAGCCTTCCTTACACATTTTCTCTGGGTTTCTATGTGAATATTCCAGTTTATAAAGATTTCTGTCATCTGGCAGAAGGATTTCCCGCATTTTTTGCATTGTTAGGGTTGCTCTCCTTTAGGAGTCCCCTGAGAGTCAGTGAGTGGTTTTGTCTGGATGCATGTCTTACGCTGCTCTTGCTTATGTAGTGTTTCTATGTAAATACATGTAGTTTGCCAAAAGCACTCTCACATTCATTATTCCTGGAGATTTTCTCCCTTATGTGTGTTCTTTGGTTCTGAATTAGGGATTTGACTTCACATGGAAGGTTTTCTTTCCTTAATCAGTTCTTTGACAGGTGTTATTCTGGAAGAAAGGTTACCCACGTTCTTTACAGGTGTAGTGAGTTCTCTGATGTAAAGGCTGACTTCTGAAAAAACCTTCCACATTCAGTATCCTGAGTTTTCCCCCCCATGTGTATTAGCTCACATTTAGTAAGATATGACTTAAACGCATGTGTTACATTCATATGGTTTCTCTATGGGTAATTTGATGTACATTGAAGGGTAAATTCTGGCAGAAGGTTTTCCCACCTTCATAACATTCTGAAGGTTTCTCTTGAGTGTGAGTGCTCTGATATAAAATGAGGACTGGTCTGTGGCAAAAGGATCTTCCAAGTATGCGGTTGTTTAGTTTCCTCCCCTGCCTTTTCTTTTTTTCTGATGTTTGAGAGAGGGTTGACTTGAGGCTGGAGATTTTGTAAATTTCATGAACATTTCCTCTCCTTCCTGAGTTCTCTGATGCTTGGATTTGGACTTCCTGAAGAAACAGTTCTCACATTTTTGCAGTCACGGAGCTTCCTTGTAATATTAGTTCTGATGTACATTGAAGCTTTAGGTTTTGAATGAGTTTCTCTACATTCCCTTCATGTGGCCTATCCCACACCTGAGTTCTCTTATGTATAATGAAGACTGCCTTATTATGGGACATTTTCTCAAATTCATAATAGTCTAAGGATTGCTTCAGAACTGGAGTTTTTGATGCTGAAAGTAGGCTTCCCTATGAGGGCTTTCCGACTTTGGTGATGTGCTCCGGGACCTGCTCCCGTATCACATCCCTTGCATTTAATATCAGGGATATTATAGGTACTCTCACATCCACTTCCCCATCAGATCATTAGGATGCTTCCTGTCACAGCATCTTTTCCTAATAATTAATTTTTAAGTATATTTCAAAAGGTTACAAAGTAAATTAGTCATCTGAGAAATTCAAGGGAAGGTTGGGTTGGAGGAACGAGATCAAAGTATAGGGGCTTAGTACCTTGCTCCAGAATTACTGTGGAAGGGGTTTCCTTAGTCTACAAGCTTCCAGGCTTTTCCCTTCCTCTTCTGGTCCTGATATCAACAGCAGATTAACTTTCTCAAAGCATCACTTTCTTCATGATTAAAGGAGTAGACTTAGCTTCAATTCATGTCCCCTTGAAAGGGGAGACTCAAGACCACAGACATCCCAGGGAAAGA